CGACACCGGTGCGAATATGAATTTCATTAGACAGGATATAGCGACCAAAACAATACCGGTAAAACAAACTATTAACGTAGCATCTGTTGGAGGTTCCATTCCTATAAAGGAAAAGGTAAAAGTTAAGTTATTTGAAAATGTAGGCAACTCAAGTGGGTTCGAATTCTTTGTGTTACCAACTCTAAGTAGTTTCAGTGGAATCATCGGCGATGACACACTAAGAGAGTTGGGTGCTGTAAAAGATAGGAAGGATAACTTACTAAAAATAGGGAACTACAAAATCCCGCTTAAGGCGCGCACGTCCTGTAATGTTAATTTTACATTGGGAAAGGAAATGCCTCCTGAAGTTCACGAAAAAATAGACATTCTGTTAAAGACATATTCCAATCTTTTCGAGCCCTTGAATGGGAACGAGTTTATAGACACAAGCGTTCGCGCCGAAATAAGAACCTCCACCCCCCGAGCCAATATACAGCAAAAGCTATCCATACCCAGCGTGTGTGAGAGACGAAGTCGAGAGGCAGGTTAATGAACTGCTTTCCGAGGGTGTTATCCGACCATCAAAAAGTCCTTATTACTCACCAATTTGGGTAGTGCCAAAAAAACCAAAGTCCAATGGGGAAAAGCAATATCGAATGGTGATCGACTATAAGAGGCTGAACGCAGTGACAATAGCGGACACGTATCCTATCCCAGGCTGACATTAACCACTTTGTAGCTTCGGACAGGCTAATTACTATACTACGATAGACCTAACGTCTGGTTTCCACCAGATACCAATGAAGGACTCAGACATACCTAAAACCGCTTTTTCAACGATGAACGGAAAATACGAGTTCCTACGTCTACCCTTTGGACTGAAAAACGCGCCCGCTATTTTCCAAAGAATGATTGACGATGTATTGAAACAATACATTGGAAAAATATGCTATGTCTATATTGATGACCAGGGAACGGATTTTTAGGACCTAAAAACCTATAAAAAAAGGCATAATAAAGTAACGAAATAGGCTGGAAAAAGCAAAATAAAATAGCGAAAAAGGCAGGAAAAGGCACTAGGTATTGTAAAAAAGGCAAAAAAGGCAAAATAAAATAGCGAAAAAGGCAGGAAAAGGCAAAAAAAGGTATTGCAAAAAAGCAAAATAAGGCACTAAAAAAAGACAGAAAATACGAAGAACAATCAAAAAATATATTTTTTTTAGAAATGTTTATATTACAAGTAAAAAGAGAAAAACTATGAACTAGTTTCATTATATGAAAAATTTGTACTTTGAATCTTTGACTATTTTATCCTTTCGAGTTTCTAACTCATAAAACTTTAATCTGTATAGTTGTAGTAACATTGAACCACAAGATGCATTTTTAAGTTTTCTGGCAGCATTTTCATTCGATTTTCGCGAAGAAAAGCCTTGAATGTACTAATGTGCGCTCGACGTAAGGTGATATAAGTGGAGCCCAATTTAAATATGGAACGTTTGAAACGTTCATATTATCACGATTAAGGGCGTTTTCCGCGCCCTTTACAATTTTATCCACACCCCTTATTGTCTCTAAGCCTACGTTAGCCGAGAAAACGGCTTTGAATTTTTCCAATACCAGTTTGGCAAGAGGTCCCTCCGCTTCTATAAGCCGCATGGGCATGTGTATATTTTTTAATCTTAAAAAAAAAATTGTAAATGCTATAATCACTTTTTTAAAGGTAGAAAAGGCAAAAAAGGCAAATATCTTAAAAAAGGCAAAAAAAAAGGCAAATATCTTAAAAAAGGCAAAAAAAGGCAAAAAAAAGGCAACATCAAATATGTATATATGGAATCAGAGAAAGCTAAATCGTGGACATTCTTAATCGAATATACTCTATCTCTTTAGCAGAAAAAAAGACAATTTCCATAAAATCCGTTCCCTGTTGATGACATTATAGTATTTGGAAAAGACGCGGACGAACATTTAGACAACGTAGAAAAGGTTTTTTCAAGACTCTTAGAGGCAAATTTAAAGGCAAACTTAGATAAAACATGTTTTTTTCGAAAATGAAGTTGAATTCCTTGGCTATTTAGTTACTCCCGAAGGAGTTCGTCCTGACCCAACAAAGGTTGAGGCTGCCACCATGCAATTTGAAAGACCTGAAAAGCTTTTTGGGGATGACCTCCTACTATCGGAAGTTCGTTCGTGACTTCGCAAAAATAGCTAAGCCATGACAAATCTAACGCGCCGGAAAATGCACAAATAAAAGCCAGTGCACCGAGGAAAGTAGCAATACAACTTGACAGTGCGGCTTTGAAAGCCTTCGGTGACATAAAACGTATTCTAACTTCCGCTGATGTCCTGGCATTTCCTGATTTTGGTAAGCCTTTTAATTTGACCATTGATGCGTCAAACTACGCAATTGGTGCAGTACTATCCCAGGGGGATATGGGTACGGACAAACCAATTGCATATATTTCTCGCTCTCTAAACAAGGCCGAGGAAAACTACGCTACGAATGAAAAGGAGATGCTAGCCATAGTGTGGGCATTAGATACTTTGAGATCGTATTTATACGGTGCCAAATGTCGCAATTATAATGCAAAACTAAAGAGGTGAAAAGCACGAATCGAAGAATAGAACTGTGAAATAATTTATAAGCCAGGGAAGGCTAATGTGGTCGCAGATGCCCTTTCCCGTCTTAAGACCGGACTCAACGTCTTAACGGATTCTGCGGTGGCTCAACCGTCAGGAAGCGAAATAGGAAATAGTGATGAGGTAGCAACAATTCAGGATAATTCCGATCTTATACCACACGTCGAGGCCCCCATAAACGTGTTTAGAAATCAGGTAATATTTAGAGTAGGTCAGGAATCTCGATGCCATGAGCAACTGCCTCATGGCTACCGCAGATATTTTATTTCTTTACCAAATATCGACAGTTCAAACGTTATTCCAATTCTTAAAGAATGCCTTAATCCTAATGTTATAAATGGCATAAAAATTCCTGAGGAATTTCTCCAATTATTGCAAAACGTGTATGCTAATAATTTCCACAGGTATAGGATCAGGATAACTCAGCGTCTAGTGGAAGACGTGACCATCCCTGATAGAATTTTCGATATAATCGAGGAAGAGCATCGCAGAGCCCACAGGAATCCGAAAGAAAATAGAGAGAAGATTCTCGAAAAGTACTACTTTCCAGGTATGTCGAAGCAAATTAGGGATTATGTTAGGCAGTGCGAAGTGTGTAAGCTTAATAAATATGACAGGCATCCGGCTAAGCCTCACCTCCAGCCGACACCGATTCCCAGCTACCCATGCGAGATCATTCACATGGATATTTTTGAGATTGAAAAACGGAAGTTTCTGAGCTGTGTAGACAAGTTTTCAAAATTCGCAAAATTATTCGCTATCAAGAATAAGTCATCCATTTATATCCGAAGGAAACTTACTGAAGTTTTACATTATTTTTCCGTGCCAAAAATCTTGGTCATGGACAATGAGAGGGGATTTCTAACTCCACTCGTTCTCAATTACATTAGATCTCTCGGGATTGAAATTTACCAGACGCCCACACAACGGAGTGAAGCCAATGGCCAGGTAGAAAGGTTGAATTCAACCCTTATTGAAATTTATCGGTGCATTTCTAACGACTTTCCTATGATGACTCCCAAGTAGAGGGTAGCGATAGTCGTAGATAGGTACAACAATACCATCCACTCCATAACAAAAAGGAAACCGGTAGATATATTCTTTAACAGAACAGCTAGGGTAAACTACCAAGGTTTAAGGGACTTTGGGGATCAAACGCACGAGAATATCAAAGCTTTGGAACTACATGAGCAAGAAGCTAGAAATGTAAGGATCAATTCAAAACGCTCGCAATCCAAAGAATATGATAGTGGCGATACTCTGTTCATAGCAAACAGACAAATAAAGGGGAAACAAAGGCCTCTATTTAAAAAAGAAACAATCTCAGAAAATAGAAATGCGACAATAGTAACTGAAAGTGGGAAAAAATTCCACAAAGCAGATATAAAAAATGTGTAAGATAACATTAGACAAAAGGTTAATGAGAAGCTTAAGATTATTAGAATCCGGCGGTTCGGAATGCAAGCGTTTATGCCTTTGTAGTCGATGAAGTCATAGTGGTTCAATTCCACCTCGCTCAGTGGTGTGAGATGGCAGATTCGAGGTGGTTCAACTCCCCCATGGTAATCTTCTGCTTGTTTGCGTGAAGCCACCGTGCCATGAGTAGGTCATTTGCAATTATAAACGCTTATGACTAAAAGGGACCAACGCGGGCCTTCCATAGACAAATAATACCTATAGTTCGATGCAAAGAAACCATAAATACACATTCGGCTAAATAAGTAAGCAAAAGTTACAAATGTATACGAGAATACATCTCGCGCAAACGCGCCAAAGAATAAAAAAATTAACGAAGAATAAAAGAACATGCAAATATGATGCAAATGCAAATGCAAAAAAAAAAAAGAGGAAAGCATTCCATAAAAACAAAAATAACCACTAACCTGCTTAAAAGTTAAAAAAAAATACTAACTTACTAACACGCAGAAACTAATGCAAAAACAAGTAAAAGCAAAAAAAAAATATAAAAATTAAAATTATTAGCCGAACTTACTACCCCGTACTAATGATACTAATCCTAATAATTAAATACTAACAAATTAATCGTCAAAAAATCCACCGTTAACATCACTACCTGGGTCCCCATGAATTCCTGATATCCCTTATCCTTATCGTTATTATTATTAAGAAATAATTACTACATTAAATTGTTACTGTAGGATTATTGATAACAATTTCGGCATACACGCTTCAAAAAAAAAAATCCAAATGATTAATTATAAAGTGTTCTGTATTCGATTTGACTTAAAAATTTAATTTCGAAGTAATTTAAAGAAATAAAGTTAAATTCAATTCCTGAAAAGAAAATTATTTACGATGTTCATTTTAAGCTATCTAGGAGGTAAAAGTAGGATTAAGTTAACAATTTTGAATCTAATTCATAGAATCTGCCTCTGTGCAACCGCACAAGCATACGTTGTATTCAACCTAGATTCTCCTGTTCTAACCGTTCGAGATGGGTACGGTTCGATAGTCAACGGACATTTTAAACTGGTCCACATGATCGACTTGACGCGCTATGATAAAATTTTAAATCGTCTAAGCTATGAAAGCTCTAGGATGAATGAGACCAACGCTATCACTGACGTCATCACCTATCAGTTGGAGAAAACTCAAACTCAACTCGACGAGCTGAAGGGCCCTAAGCCTAAAGATCCAAGCGTTCAATCAATTGGATTGGGTCAGCCTGGAAGTGGATTGCTGGCACACCTGACGCCTTAGACTGGGATGAAGTCCTGCGGAGCCAAGACGCATTAGTAACCAATAACAACCTTCAATATAAAGTAAACTCTGAAATATTCAAGAAAACTCAAGAGCTATTACAGGCTGTTAATGGAACGCAACCACCTGGCTAAAGTTTCACAGGAAATAGAGCACAAGGTAGCGATCCTTAAGGAGGACGTTAACGAGTTGATTCGAGCAGGTCAAATGGCCAAAGCAGGAGTTGTCAAGAGTAATCTATTAAATAAAGAGGAAATAAATAAACTAATAAGCGAAATCGAAGTCCTTCCGTACAGCAACGTCATCGAAGCCATCGAATATAGTGAGCCATCAATCTACACCAACGGCACTCTTCTACTATACGTACGGTGACCATCCGGCCTTTATTTTAAAGGGCAGTCCTTTATTTTAACCCCGTGTCCTTTATAATTTTTTTCAAAATAAAGGACGCCTTTTGTCCTTTATTTCTTAAACTGTCCTTTAAATCAGCTCTGCATTTTTCAGAGGTAAATTTTTAAGCCGAATATGAAAAATAAAAACGTCCCTTATAAAATTAAAAAAAAAACCTTCGCCAGTTTGTTTCTCACCCCACTTAAGAGTTTCAATTTAATCGGTAATCTTTGTACAAACTATAAAGCAAAGGGAAAGTTGTGCCCAGGATCGTGTTGCACGCTGAGTTTCCAGCTCCACTGAAAGAAGATAAAACCCCTGCTGCACAGTGGTTCAAAACCGGCATTTAGTGTTCGTAATTCACTGGAGCCTTCATTTTTCACTTAATTTGATTACTTTTTACTTTTTTTTTATGAAAGCTTACAATATTTGCCAGAGACCAGTTGAGCCTGATTTGTTAATTCTTATTTGATTATATAACATTTTTTTTGTACAAAACGCAGAAAAAGTAGCAATTTTGAAGAAACTGTAACTCCTGTTCCGTGCGCAGAAGTGGAAAAATTTTGACTGCCATTCACCTGGGAGTGGCCAGAAGTGATTCTTGTGCGTACGGTTCAAATCGCAGCTCACAACGTCCGGATATTTATATCCACGTATCCTCTGGGTAGCAACCAAACACCCGTTTGGGAGCGAGCTAAAGTGAGAAGGCGTAAAACTTCGCGTGCGCTGGGTTTGGGTCCCGCCACGTTAAAATCCCGCCCAATGAAAAGAAAAAAAACAGCCTCGGATGAGACCCCCTTTTTCTGATGACGACCACGGCAAACGTATAAAGCACTATGATTTAAGGGTATGCACCTGGATCCTTAATGGGGAAAGTGCCTCTGCCCGGCTGGTTGATGTCCTCGGGAAGACAAAGGCTGACATCACCGCCATCCAAGAAATGCGATGGACGGGGCAAGGAAAAGTAAGCGTGAAGCCTTGCGACGTCTACTACAGTTGCCACGTAAAGGAGCGCAAATTCGGTGTTGGATTCGTGGTAGGAGAGAGACTCCGTCGCCGAGTACTGGCGTTCACCCCGGTGGACGAACGTCTAACCACAATCCGCATCAAAGCTAGATTCTTCAACATCTCGCTCATCTGCGCCCATGCTCCGACTGAAGAGAAGGATGAGGCGTCCAAGGATCTCTTCTATGAGCGCTTGGAACGTACATATGAGCGCTGCCCCCGACACGATGTCAAAATCGTGCTTGGCGATTTTAATGCCAAGGTGGGCAAGGAAGGGATCTTTGGCGCCACTGTCGGAAAATTCAGCCTCCACGACGAAACGTCCGATAACGGACTGAGGCTGATCGACTTCGCCGGGGCCCGAAATATGGCAATATGTAGTACTAGGTTCCAGCATAAGAACATCCACCAAGCTACATGGCTGTCTCCAGATCGAAACGAGAAACGTTGGATTTCAGCGAGCCCGAAAGAACAACTGGTACAATGAGGAATGTCAAGAAGCCGCAGAGAAAAAGATTCCGCCTACAGGGCCACGCTGCGATCGGGAACTGAAGAAGGAAGCGAGACGTATTTGCCGCAATAAGAAGAGAGAGGCCGAAATACGTGAGTGCGAAGAGCTTGAGATGCTGGCCGACAGGAAAAACGCCCGAAAATTCGACCAGAGGGTAAGGCGACTTACGGAAGGTTTCAAGACCGGGGCGAACTCCTGTAAGAACAACAATGGCGACCTAGTGACCGATGTCCAGAATATACTTAAATTGTGGAGGGAACACTTTTATAACCTACTGAATGGTAGCAGCGGTGAAAGTAGTGAAGAAGATGAACCCGAGTCCCCAGTCGATGATGATGGCATAGCTGTCCCACCGCCTGACTATGACGGGGTACGAATGGCGATTACGCGGCTGAAAAACAATAAAGCTGCTGGAGCTGACGGCCTGCCAGCCGAGCTATTCAAGTACGCCCGACGACTGGAATTTAAGTGTGCTCTGCCCAATCCACAAGAAAGGCGACCCCGCCATACGCGCCAACTACCGCGGAATCAGCCTTCTAAGCATAGTTACAAGGTCTTATCGAGCGTATTGTGCGAAAGACTGAGGCCCACCTTCAACGAGCTGATTGGACCTTATCAGTGTGGCTTTAGGCCTGGAATATCCACCATAGATCAGGTATTCACAATACGCCAAATCTTGGAAAAGACCCGCGAGAATAGGATTGACACACACCATCTATTTGTCGATTTCAAAGCCGCTTTCGACAGCACGAAAAGAAGTTGCCTTTATGCCGCGATGCCTGAATTTGGTATCCCCGCGAAACTAATACGGCTGTGTAAAATGACGTAGAGCAATACCACCAGCTCCGTCAGAATAGGGAAGGACCTCTCCGAGCCATTTGATACCAAACGAGGTTTCAGACAAAGGGACTCCCTTTCGTGTGATTTCTTTAATCTGATGTTGGAGAAGATAATAAGAGCCGCAGAACTGAACCGCTCAGGCACAATACTTTATAAGAGCGTACAATTGCTGGCGTATGCCGACGACATCGATATTATCAGTAAACGTCTGTTCTGCTTTCTCGGGATTGGATAGAGAAGCAAAGCGAATGGGTCTGGTGGTGAACGAGGACAAAACGAAGTATCTCCTGTCATCACACAAACAGTCAGAGCATACGCGTCTTGGCACCCACGTCACTGTTGACAGTTACAAGTTTGAAAAAGTAGACGACTTCGTTTATTTGGGAACCAGCATTAACACCAATAATAATGTCAGCCTTGAAATCCAATGGAGAATCACTCTTGCCAACAAGTGCTACTTTGGGCTGAGTAGGCAATTGAGAAGTAAAGTCCTCTCTCGTCGTACAAAGATCACACTCTATAAGTCACTCATCATGCCTGTGCTGGTGTATGGCGCGGAGGCATGGACAATGAAAGCATCTGATGAGGCGTCTCTTGGAGTTTTCGAGAGAAAGATTCTGCGAAAGATTTACGGACCCTTACGCGTTGGTGATGGCGAATATCGCAGACGATTTAACGATGAGCTGTATGAGCTTTACAACGATATAGACATAGTGCAGCGAATTAAAATTCAGCGGCTCCGCTGGCTTGGCCATGTCGTTCGCGAAGAGGAAGGCCTCCTCGGCGTTGGAAAGACCAGGTGGAGAAGGACTTGGCTTCACTTGGCATTTCCAATTGGCGTCAGTTAGCACAGAAGAGAAATGACTGGCGTGCTGTTTTGAACTCGGCCAAAATCGCTTAGGCGGTTACAGCGCCAATTAAGAAGAAGAAGAGTAACTCCTGTTCCAGTTAATAAATGTTACATAACAAAAACTAGTTGAAAACAATTGTACGATTCCCCAAAAGCAAAAAAATTACAAAAAAAAAATTTTGAAATGTTATAAAAAAAATGTTCACCAAAATAAATATTTTTTTCTTTTTAGTAAAAAGTTGGTTACAAAATAAAGGCCCCGGTGAATTATGAACATCAAATTTCAATTTTGAACCACTGTGTGCTGGCTTCGTCGTGCAGTATGAATTGTGGTAAACGCGTTGTGGTAGCAAAGGATGGCGAAGTTCTTGAAAAGATTTGGCTTAATTTTTCGCTACAGCAGGGAAACTTCTACAATTAAATAACATAATTAACTGGTAAATATTTGATTTAAATTACGATATGGGTAAGGTACTTTTATCATACAATTTGTTTGTATGTATCCCCAGATCATTTTGAAAAAAATGTCCTTTATTTTACGTTGGTTAATATGGTAACCGTAACTATACGTCTTGTCCATGCCAAAAGTGTCGCAAACAAGGTACAACCATTTAATCACACGATTAATTTTAAAGGATGGTCGATCGACTTGAAGTACAAAACAATCCTAATGAATAAACCACAGACGTATGGTATTAAGGATAGCTGTCAACGCCTCGCCTCCGCTATGGTTTGCAAACAGGGGTCACTAGATTTACTGCCTGAAGAGGAGTGCTTACCACGTCTACTCAAGGGTAGCCAAACAAGTTGCCGCTACATAACCTGCATGGAAACAACGGTTGAAGTACTCAAGGAAGATACAATATTCCTGGATAACTTCAACAGCAGCGTTTGGTCAGGTAAAAATATCTAAACACCTGTCTGGTTCCTATATTCTACAGCTGGAGAACGAGACGATAACGATCAACAATCAAACCTACTGGAGTACAAGCAGCTCAGGTGTGCAAGTGCTTCCATCCGTGTTGTCTACAATAACGAATAGGAGTCTGGCAGTGAACCTCGATCTCGTCCATGAAATGACGTCTGGAAACATACGACTTTTCGGTTACCTGAAGGACAAAACTAACTGGTTTGCGACGTCTGAAGGTCTAGGACTTATTTTGCTAATGATCCTAATTTTGCTGATTGGAGAAAATTGACGACAGGAGCCAAACTTCCTGAGCTCAATTTGTCCACACTGCAACAGAGTTCTCGAAACCGACTTAAGAAGGACGCCTCCCAAAACGTTGATTTGCGGGACGCAAATCTTTTGAGGGGGAAGAGTTAGCACGCACCAGCCGCATTTGTTGCGACGCTCCCACGGTTGGCCGTTTTACATTGAAACGTAAATTTTTGTATCTATTT